CTTTTGTTTGTGAATCAGCGCGTGCCCATCGTCATCGTAACGTCGTGAAGTCTTTGTTACAGGGTTTGGCGTGACATGTAGGGTCGGAGGAAGAAAGATGGATGGTGAAGGGGAGGGGGCGCTATCTCTGAAGGTGACGACGGTGGGCGTGGTCTGCAATGAGTTCCAGTGTGTGTAATTTCGAAGCATATGCGATGCAGACCATGGCGTGGGCGTGATAAGGGATGTGGGAAGATGTGGCTCTATTAGGGAGAACGTGCGAGGGCGTGGTCGTTGGTGCTCTCACACTTCTCTCTTCTCTCTCTTTTTTCTCCGTCTCTCTTCTTTCTTTTTCATCTTCTCTCTTTCCCCCTCCTCCCGCTCCGTTCCTCCCTCCCCCTATCCCCTCTTTCACCCTCACCCCACCCTCTCTTGTCTGTGTAAAGGGTCATATCGGGTCACCACAACGCACGTGAAAGAGCGGACGAGGAAGGTCACGGTTGTAGATGTCTGGCGCAGATAAACCGACGAGAGTTTTATGCACGCGGGAGAAAGTGTGATTCATTTCTCCCTTTTATTTCCTCATCCCGCAAAGCACTTTCGATCTCTTGGGTGATTGGGTGGGGTTGGGTGGGGGGTGGGGGGGGGTCGACGCTGGAACCGTGCCGTATGTCTCTCTCTCTGCTTCTGTGTTGGCTTCTGTAGAAAGAGAGGGGGGGGGGGAGAAAATGAGCGCAGAGTACTGTATCTGTTTGTATCATAGGAACAGGAAATATGCAAAAATACAAGGACTTTCCATCTAAACAATGAATGTATATGAGAAGACTCTAAGAGACAGGAAAGAGGTAGAAGTCGCGTGGTCTCCTCCATCCTCGAAGGACTCTTGCCGATAGTTTGGGATTTTCCATGACATATATATGTATACACACACACATATATAGGTGTGCATATGTGTGCATATATATGTCGATAGATGCACACAGATATATATATACACATATATATATATATATATATATATATATATATATATATATAAATACATATATTTACAGAAATAAACACACTCACACATATTAACGCACATTTTAACATCGACATACGTATACACATAAAGACACATCTGATAGAAAATGGGATCAAAATGCGATTTACGTAAGTGTTCAAGTTTGCATCATCACCTTTCGGATGATCCTTTTTTATGAAGTCCATTTCCATTTCCATCATCCCATTAAGCCGCAGTCCCCACAGAGGTGAACATGCCCGACCGAAACCCGTAAAAGAGTATCTGTGAAGAGAGTGCCGTAGATAGACCTTCATGAATCGTGACAGGGAATTAACGCCATGTGAGCACCATGTGACTAAGCTTGGGTATTGATTCCTGACTCATGGGTGCAAGAGGCGGAGGGGAAGGGAGAAAGAGGGGAATCAGAAGAGGGGTGAAAAAAGTGTGGGAGATAACGTAAGGAGGGAGGATGTACAATAAATAGGAGGGTGATGGTAGAGGAAAATATATTAAAAAAGGGAGGTGGGGGGAGTGTTGAAAATTGGAGAGGGTAAGAATCTAGAATGGGAATCACGTGGAAGGGCGTGGCGAGGAATGCAACAGAATTCGAGCGATGTTGCTTGTAGACAATGAAATCTATATTTTTGCTTGATATTTTAAAGAGATAAATTAAATTTCAAGATCGGAAGGGGAGTCGGAAGGGGTTTTAGTGATTACAGAAGGGTCGGAGGTTCTATGTTTGAGGACACAAAAGGCTTTCCTTGGGGTAAATATTGGCGCGAAAATAATTATCTCTGCTGATATATGTGACGTCATTAACCCCCCCTCCCCCTCTCCCCTCCGCTCCCTCCCGAAGAGTCATGATGATTTTGTGTGTGTGTATTTAATCCCATGTGAAAAACATATAGTTCAAAGAGAGGCATTCTATTCAGCAGCTTCTGCAAGTTCTGCATTAGCTTTTACCTTAAACCCACGTGACATATACTCATTCCCTTCAGCTTTCCATTATTATTCATTTTAATCACATGCATAGTATTACCATGAACAGATCGCAACCATATATTCATCATGGTAGTAATAACACTCTAATTATATATCACTAAAAATATGCATCCGTGCAGTCAGTGCGTGTCTGCGGTGAACATAAATGTATATTATTTATCTCCGCGGTCTTTGCGGGTTTCTCCCAGCGCCGCATAGAATTCGAAGGATACGCCTCGAATTTCTTACTGTTAACAAAGAGAAAAAGGATAACGAGGGGCATAAATGATAATACTAATGATAATAAATGATAAAAAAAATAACAAACAGGAGTTGTGTGATGAATATTCAAACTGACGCAAGTATTGTAGTTTTTTTCAGTTGTCGTCATGTCTTGTTCGTTTACTTACCTTTCTCTCCGAAGTAATTTTACCATTCTTTTTTACTCTCCACTTTACCATTGTTTACATTTTAAAATACGCGTGGTGAAAAAAGACGCATAACAGTTCATGGTCATATTACGTTGCAGTTTATCAAGCCGAGTAAAGACAAAAAAAAATCACAATCAAGTGTTAATTCATTCTACCATTAGTATCATTCTTTTAAAAGATGAAAAGGCGTTAGATAAATTTTCGATTTATTTTACGTTCATATTATTTTTAAAAATCAATACCTGTCAAAGAATTATGGGGATGAACGCGACAAAACTATAGTCATAAAGCAGCCTGCTAACTACATTGTTCCAAACTTTCATCGTTTCGGCAAAAGAGAGAGTGAAAGCGTGAACGCGTTACCCCCCCCCCCCACACCGTCGACGCCTCCTGCTGCTGTTCGAGTCACGTGACGCCTTTGCGGTCACGACGCCTGCGCATCCCGTTTGTTCTTTCGTTGACAGCATGCGGCGAAATGACACTTGCGATCTGCGTGAAGATGTAAAGCGATAATGAAAACTGTTCCTTGATTCAGTATTTGTGCACAATATGCGTACATTTGAATGTATATATACATATACACGTGTGTGTACATATATGTATGTATATTTAAAATAAACATTTAAATCTATATATCTATACATATATGTATGTATATATATCTGTATGTACATTTATTTATTCATTTATTTATAATACACACACGTGTGTATGTAAATATATAAAAATATGTATATATACATATATATAGGTATAGATAGACACATACACATATATATCATGCACACATATATACAATATATGTGTGAATGTATGCATGTATGTTTGGTTTTATATAATAATGTACATACGGGAAACAGAATATGTTTATAAAGAAGCAAACATAAGCATGTATAGGTACGCAAATATATACATACAGAATATAAATGTAACACATTAGTCAGTATGTATGTATTCATGTACATTCATTTACAAATACATATGCTTATATATGTGTGTATGTATATACATATGTATACACGCACACACACATACACGCATATATGTATATATATATACATATACATATATATATATATTCATATACATATATATATATATATATATATATATATATATATATATATATATATATATATATATATGTATATATATATGCGTTTGTGTACTGTACACACTCACTCACTCACACACTCACTCACTCACTCACTCACTCACTTTATATATATATATATCTTTCCCTTTTGGTTTACATGGTAAATCCGAGACATTCTATAAAAACTGTTCAAAAATTTACACACTGAATATCAGATGACTACCAGACGTAAAGCTTAAGGATAATACTTCCATAAATTCATCACACTGCTGGTACTATGTCTCATGTCATCCCATAATCGTGCATTAAAATAATAATAATAATACAACGAAAGGAAAGAACTGGAGAAATTCCCAATAGCATTGATAAATGTAAAGTATTTTATACATTTACATCTCTAGAGACGAAACTGAATCCCAGGTATCACAGAACAAGCATGTCTTTGAAGAATCAATGTCTGAGGTTAGGTCGTCTTACAGAATTGGCCCGTGTGGTTTATTTCGCGGTAAATGAGGCCCGGCGGTTATTACGTTTGCCTTTGTGAGAAGCGTTTTTGTAGCGTGGAATGGATTGCCTGTGCATTCATTTATATTTTAGTATTTGTATTTATGTCTATACGTCTGTCTCGTTCTCTCTGTATATGCGTGTGTGTGTACATTTACACATGCATATACATACATGTACGTACAATTTCATATGCACAACATATACCTACATTCATTGGCTTTAGTATTTCGTATCGAGAAGAGCACTGAAATAACCAGGACACAGTATCTCATAACATGCTCGTCTTTTCCTCAAATGTGGAGACTCCCAAATTAGGCATCCATCGTTCCCTGTACTCCGTGGCATTACTTGAATTACCTTAAGTCGGATACTTTATGTACTCTTTATGCCTCTTTATACTTTATCCCTCTCACTGTGACGGATTAGCGGCGACACGGGGACTCGGGCTGGGCTGAGGAGAACGCTCTCTTTCTCTCTCCTACCTCGCTTTTTTTGTTTTCTTAATGGGAAATTTCTCTTGATTTTTTTTTCTCTTTTCGTTCTTCTTATTTTTTTTTTCATCGTTGTGATGATGATGCTGTTTTGTTCTTGTGATTTTTGTGGGTTTTAGTTTCTATCTGATTGTTCGGTGTTCGATTTGCAGTGTTGTGTTCTGTGTGTATTTGTACATGATACATATATTCACACACACACACACACACACACACACACACACACACACACACACACACATATATAACTACATAGAATTGTCCATAAACGCCCCTGTACAAATACAAGCACGGCATAGCCATCTGTAGACACAGACGCATAGACACCTCCATATTTACATAGACAGATATGTAAACACGCTTTATACATCTACACCAGAAACACACATATACAGCACACCCTATTTAACACACTGCCACCCACAATGACTCACACATGTTAATGTGTATGTAATAACATGTAAAAGACCAGCTATATTAACATTCTTCCCTTTGTCCTTACAGGTGCGGGACTTGGTGGAGAGGTGCTCTTGCCCTTCACAGTTTCCGATGGTCAAGGTGTCTGAGGGGAAATACCGTATTGGCGACACGCGCGTCCTGATCTTCGTTAGGGTAAGTGTCCTTCAGGTCTTGTTGGGTATTTTAAGGTGGTGTTTAGTATGGTAAGTGGCTTTAGGGGTCTTCTTATCCTGATACTTGTGTGTTTGTGTGTGTGTGTGTGTGCGTTTGTGTATGTATGTATGTGCGTTTGTGCGTGTGTGTGTGTAAGCAACTTACCCCAGACAGGTGTATGCTTATTTTAGGATAAGTAATATTACTCTATGATATCCTGTTCTTCGTTAGGTTTGGTTTCATTTTTCCCTTTCTGTAAACCTGCTGCACATCCATTATATCCAGAACTTCAGGACATATTTGGAATATCTTAGTATAAACATGATAGGAAAACACTATAGCCATGCTACACAATAAACCAATTTTGTTCATAATGTATTTTTCTACCACTGCATCAATTCTGTACAGTAGTTGATTATTCAGCACCCCACATATAACCTCAAGTAAAAAATACTAAAAATAATGTTGATAGATATAAATAATAACCCCACCTATCCCAACCTTTACCATCCCCAACAACCTCAACAGAGCTCCTCTCACAACCCCAACGGACGTAGGTTGATAACACCACTCGCCCCGTTACCCGAAACTCTTGAATTCCCCTCAACAACGTCACGTTTTCACTCTTAGATTCCCTCTTACCCCGAGAGGCTTAGGGAAAGCGGCGACAACACTAGTCTTTGTGTGTATTAGCTTCCCTTGTGTAATCTGGGTCTCTAGGTTTCCCTTGTTTGGGAGCGAGATCTTTTCTGCTGTGTATGAAAAGCGACGCGTGGGGTGTGTACATGCCTTTGTAGGGGATTTAAAGCTTGATGTATATTTTTCCTCCTACTTGTTATGGTCATTTCTTTATGGCATGTCGTGTTTGTTTGATTTTATTTCTTCTTAAAGCATAATGTGGTAAGAGTGTTTATTAGAATTTTAGGTGTGAGTTTATCATGTAACTTATGACCTAAGCAGAATTCTTTGTTGACGCGAAATACTTGTGTTTTCAGATTCTCCGTAACCACGTGATGGTGCGCGTCGGCGGAGGATGGGACACCCTCGAGCATTACCTGGACAAGCACGATCCCTGCAGGTGTCGTCAAGGTAAGACATCCTTCTGTGAGGACTCGGTTCTCTCTTTCTCTCTCTCTCTCTCTCTCTCTCTCTCTGTGTGTGTGTGTGTGTGTGTGTGTGTGTGTGTGTGTGTGTGTGTGTGTGGTGCAGTAGTAGCGATCTCGTCTAGCAATCTTGCTGACATGCGTTCAAATCCCTCGCCGCCAGTGGATGCTAACCCCGGTTATTCCTTGCACACGGGATAACTTAGAAGCAAAATAAAACAGACACTATGTCACACCAAGGATATCCATTGTAACAAATGGAATCAAATTAAACCTACCCCCCCCCCCCCTCTCTCTCTCTCTCTTCTTTTTCTTCCCCCTACCTCTTTTACTCCTTACATCTCCATTTTTCTCTTCCTCGCTTTCCCATTCCGTATACGACCTGATACACTCCAAAGGCAAAAACATTAGTCCTCATCCGGCCGAGAAATCACCTAACTGGAGTCACGCTTGGCCTGCGTGTGTTCCTATTCAGTCCGTGATCATGCTGCCTGTGACACACTTTGCCCCGCCCGATCCAGGTGCAACATGGATGAAGGGGTTTATTTGGAAGTAAAAACGAAAAAAAGAGAAATGCATTTTATTGCATTTGTTACGGTGATTGTGCCTATTTTTTCTACCTTTTTTAGGGGTCTTTTTTATGCAAAGTGATAACAGAGGAGTGGTGTTGTGGAGCCATTGTGTTGGTTTCGAGAACTGCGTCGTTTGGACTCCGCTTGCTACTGGGCACCGGATGACGTGATGAAAGCAAGTTAGGGGGAAATTATTAAAGTATTTTTGGAACTTGAGTTATCTTTTTATTTATTTATTTATTTTTTGTATTTATGTTCCTATTCTTTTGTTCACTTTCTTTTTCTCACTCATTGTAAATATGCATACACATTTATGTATATTTGTATGTGTGTGTATATGCATGTATATTCGTATATATGTGTATATATGTATATGTGTATAGAATATATACATGTATATGTGTATATATATATACACATATTTATGCGTGTGTATATATACACATCTATATATATTAATCTATCAGCCTCCACCTACTCTCCCCTTCCCTTTCGATATTAAACTTCCAACAAATCAGACATCACTGACAGCCTTCTCCTCCTCCCCGTCGCATCCAGGTCACCGCACGGCCCTGTCTTCCCGCGTGGGCTTCAAGACGTCGAGCAGCGGACAGGAGAGGCAACTCATGAACGTCACGTATGAGAGGTAAGGTCATTTCGGTTAAGATTTTCATCCTTTTTTTATTGCGTAATTTTTTAATATATATATATATTACTTTTATTGGTAGTTTGGAGTGGTTGATATTTAACAGCGAGGTGAGGAGGGAATTTAGTCAGTTTTCGAAGACTTGGCAGCTCATGATGGTGTATATAAGAGTGTAAGATGATATAATAGGGTAATTTTTTCATGAACACAAGTGGCATCTGAAGTAGTAAAGCGAATCTTTTCGCAACCCTCGGGGTTGCTAGTTATGCAATTGGCTTATCATGTTCTTCCTATTGATATTGAAAGGTCTGGAGGTCACGCACAAGTTCAGACTCCCACATCAAGGACACAAATACAGTCAAGGGAATTTGCAGATAGCAAACCTACATCTAGAATGACTAATTCGTCTAGTTTATCGAACCGTGGGCTGCGTGAGAGGACTTCACAAAGGAAATTCTCCCAGGGAGCAGCTGCTCTTTCTGCAACATTTAACCCTTTGAATAAAGAACAAGTCTCTACTCCGCATAAAGTTCCTAAGCCAGTAAAGAATAGGTTGTCCCGGAGCCAAGAATCTCTCCATAACTCCACCCCTAAAATTACTCCTGTAAGGAAAAGGAGCGTACACATTCCAAAGAAACTTGGCAGAAAATCCTCTCATGACACAACACAAATTACAAACCAGCAATGGCACAAAGGTATCAGAAAGACTAAAGATGCATCCTGCAGTGGATCAGCATCGCCCGCCCCACAACACGGAACAAAAGGGAGCAATGAGCAGGCCAACAAGACACCTCTATCCTCATCATCACGTATCCCTCAAAGAAAGCTTGGAAGAGTAACGCGTTCAGGAGAAAATAGGATTTTATCACAGCATAATCCCGACAGTGCGGATATATCTATAGGAGAGCTTAAGATTAACCATATTCCAACCAAAACTTTAACCGTAACTTCAACTCCTAAGCCTTATAAAAGTCTTGGAATACTTGATGTAAATTCAGAGATAAAGGAAGACATACCTGTATACGACGTTAAGAACAATGAGCCTCCGAAATGTAGTACAAAGATACCAACATTTGTGCACAATAAGCCTTCTTCCACGGCCAGAGATCCATGCAGTACAAATGATGCAAACAGAACTAGGAAAATATCTTTAAAAACTCTCAACGCTTCCTTTAAGCCACCTAAGGAGACGCACGAGGTATCTGCCAAAACAGGGGAACAAAGAAGCACAGAAAGGATGCAGAGTACAGTAAAGAGATCGCCAGAAAGGATCAGGTTACAAAATTCTTTAGAACAGAGGGCAAAAGCGTCTGGCATGAAGGCATCGTTAATACCAACGAAATGCCCTGCGCCAGTCAGTGCTTCAGTATCTGCAACAAGTACCAAAACTTAGTGATGGGGTGCAGTGCCAACAGAACGTAGTGCACAAAGTTGGTATTCAAATGCACCGAAAATTATATAAATTTAGAAAGTATTGTTAATTCCTGATAGTTGATTTAAGAGGGTACCTATGTGAATGCTGAATTTCCGTAGTATATTTCACCCTAGAAATTAATATGTATAGAAAAGAAATGTAAATTTGATAACTCAATCAAACGATTTTATTTAATGGTGTTGATTTATTCAGAGAAAACATTGAAATATTAGCGTTTGTCAAGCGTCTAATCCTGATCTAAAAGTGGAGTGAGCAGAACGCAATGAAAACACACGATGTAAACCGAAGAGAAATAGAACTGGATACACAAGTCATTACATTTAAAATTTGCGGATTATGTGATATAAAAAAAGTGAAAATTGAAAGAGGAGAAGGCGAGGAAAGAGGTGAAATATGCTGATTAAAAACAATGACCACGGTATAGTGAAAGAGTGCACTGGCTTGACGATATAGTTGTTAAAGGTACAGTGAACTTTTAGACAATCACAGTAGTCCAATATCCGTGGTGTTAATTCTGACCTTTGATTATACTTAAATAAAGGGAATGAAATAAGATTAGTGTGGAATTGCCATACCGGTGTAACTAATATGACATATTTTTTTATGATGGATTTCTGTAGATGATTCTCTTGAAACGTACCATGTCACCTTGTGTTCCATGTTCAATTTATGCGTTAGTATATATATATATCTTTAAATTATCGTTCGAGAATCTCTCTTAGTTTCTGAGAGTATGGAGGCATTCTCCCTCGGACGTGGATGATTTTTGCTTCGTGTGTGTGTGCGCGCGTGCGTGCGTGTACGTGTACGTGTATACGTGTCGCTGTGCCTGTACATGCATATATACATATATAAACATGATTCCTAGTTCTTTTGCAGTTAGTACCCCTGCCCCAAAGACCCCTTTGAAAAACCCTTCCCTCTGACCCGCAGGTGTGACGAGGGCTACGTCCCCTCCTCTCCGTCGCCGCGTCGCAGATCGAGCGCCAGCGGCCGAGGAATCAGGCGAGACTCCCTGGAGGGCCGCTCCTCCCTGCGCCAGCGGTCCCAGTCGCCCGCCAACAGGGACCCCGGCGCCGCCTTCTCTCGCACTGGTTCTGGCAGGTTAGTTTGTGGGGGCGTTGTTGTTTGTTTCTGTTGAAGGATTTTGAGGAGTGGGAGGAGTGTGGATGAGACGGAGATGGTGGACGTTTGGCAAGTCTTTGAGGCACGACTAAAGGTATAGGTGTTTTTATATCTATTTTAGCTTCGAACTCATGGCACCCGTTACTCTCGGAGCCTCCATCTCTCATTTTCCTCATATTTTCATACATAGAACCCCTTAGATTAGTTAATTAGATTTAATCGATTCTTCCACGAATGTGATCGATAAGTTATTTTCTTACTCCTTTGATTCTTCCGCAAATATAAGTACTTAATTAAAGTGATTCTTATTTTTATTGATTCTTCCACAAGCATAACCCCTAAATGCGATTCTTACTCAGTTGATTCTTCTAAAAAATATAATCCCCCAAAAGAAATCCGATTTCATTGACTTTCACAAATAATATTACCTCTTTAATTAAATAATCCATATTGAATCCTTATTCTTTCACAGACATAAGCCCTTAATTTAAGTGATACCTATTCTTATCGAATTCCTTCTTCCACAGATATAACCCCATAAAGTGGAGTCCCGGTTTGCGCGACGAACAGACCGCCTGGCGAGACGACTCCTCCGAAGTGAGCGATGAAGGATACAAGAGTCAGGGGAACACAGGTCCGAGGACACTCCCCAGAAATCGCAAGCCGACACCGAAGAAGAGCCTGGAACTGGATCCTACAGATATGTTAGGTGAGTCCTTCGTTTGTGGGATGGATTTATTATGATGAGTGGAGAAATTTTGTTGTTGTTTTTTTGTTTGTTATGTGAAATCTAGCTTGAAGTTTCGTGGCTGAAGATAAATATCGGGGATTTTTTTTCTCACTTTCCAGAACGTCCTGAGTCTTCCATGACACAGATGTCCTCTGAGGGATCGTCGATGTCCACCGAAGACTCGGTACACACTCCCCCGAGGTCCCCAACCAACACAACGACCACCGCCCCCCACTATCCCCTCACAGATGCAACCAACACTTGGTCACCTCCGTCACAGATCAAGCATAAGAATTCCAGCATTGGTACGCCCAGATCGAAGATACCGTTTATTGATACCCTGAAGAGTCCATTCATAAACAACAAGAAATCCAAGAAAGCGTCATTGCCGGAGGAAAAGTCTTCTCCGGGGAAGCCAGCCTGGAATGCCGGCCCGGGCGTGAGGAGGAACAGCCTAGATCGCGGCGAGCGGGTCATTAGCCGCAGCAGAAGCGCCACGAGCGAGGGCGGCCTCATCATGCTGGGCAGAGACTCCCCGGCCCGGCAGTCCTTCCGCCCGTCGGCCAGGCGTCAGTCAGGGGGCTCGTGCGGCCCGACAGGGAAGAACACCTGGAACGGCCGAGCTTCGCGGGAACGACCGAGCCTCACCGCCGACACCTACAAGCCGCCCACGACACCCAGGACGGTTCGCTCGGCCTCAGCCTCTCCCGCAACCACGCGGCGTCAGGTCGGGCACTCGGCGCCGGCCACACCGCTTAACCGCTCGCCGAAACGCTCTGCGCCCGCGTCAACTCTCACGTCCCCTACCGGTGGCGGGCCGCTTTTACAGCAACTGGCCGACTTAGAACCAGATGAAAATACTCTTTTGTGCATTAAAGATATTTATGACTCTCTTAAAGCAAGGGTTTCGGAGAGCTTAGCCGCGGAAGGTAAATCATTGCCTCCTGAACTGTCGCAAGACTACACTAATTCGTGGGTGACTGCACATGTATCCAGTGGTAGCCGTAGTTTAGATCCGAAACCCAGTGCTAGTGCTTCGAACGGTCCGCCAGGTGCTGTGAGGATTACTCCGAGAAAGTCCGGCGTCGGTTCTCGTATCCCAGCTCCTACCTTTTTCCTTCCTCACCAGACAGGGATATAGCAGCGGGATCAAATAGAGTAGTAAAAGGCTGTGGACGTGGCACGTGGAGTCAGGGTCAGTAACCTACACCAATTGGACGGTTGAATCGAAGCTCGCGATGAAGTGAATCAAATTTTGAGTCCTTTTTCATGCTCTGTGTCCTGGATGAAAACGCGAGAGACTAAATTGCTCAGACTCTTCGAAGTAGAAAGGGATGCTGTTCCCCCTCCAGTAGGTGCCACCAACTAAGATTGGCTAGGAATATATCCATACCCAATGTGCCTCTGTAACCACACTAACATGAATGGTGCTCCTTACCTAACATGTGATATGTTGCAATTTATATTATTTCTGATTTTATGAGAGTAACATTCCGATATTATAATGTGTTTGATATCGGTTGTGTCATATTGCAGATACTAGTCGATTGTAGAATAGAAAAAAAATTATTCTATCAAAAGTATTTAAGATAAACTGTTTTTAATTCAATTTGATATTACTGTTGACACATTTTTAGTACAATGGTATATAGCTTTACAGACTTATTTGATCCAAACACATTACTGTATATCCCTAATTTCAGAATTTGATTGTAGTCATTTATTAATTCATCGAAGTATGTATTCTACTGCATCATTATTTCCCTCTATGTAAAGGGACGCAGACCTGTCCCTTCTGTGCTCCGGTATAATAACTGTCACACACCAGTACAGCATCTAGTGTCTAACTGGGTACTTTATATAACCGAACACCACGTCAAGGATCATTCACAACCATAGTGAATGCTTTGCAACAGTCATGATATCAAAGTAATATATTGCTATTAATGTTGCAAATAGTATAGGAAGAATAGTGTACACAGCATATTGTAATCCTTAATCAGTGTTGTTTGGATAATTAGGCCACACAGAGCTAATCGATACTGAGAATGATGCATACAGGGCAATTACAGAACTTTATTTTCTAACTGATATCAGCAGGATTATTTGTCATGGGACTGAATATGCCCAGCATTTAATGTGATAAGTTTGGCAGAAAACCGTGCAACTGTTAATCTCTTTGAACATGGTTTGGATATGTGCATTAAGGTTTATCAGAATATATGATATAATGTAAATACATTCATTATAGTTTATATATTGTGTGTAGAGTGTGGCACTCGAGAGTGTACTCTTCTTTATTATTAGTCGTCAAATGAGACATTTGCAGATGATTTGATTGTTAAAGAGCTTGTGCATCAAAATTTTATAGATATATATACTGTATATGTTAATTCTTATATTGAACCAAGTCCTCGTTTTCTAAAAACACGACTTCCATATATAAAAGAGTTATAGAATGATTTCTGACATTATATAAGTTATAAAGAAGGACAATGTTGGATGAGTGAATGAGAGAAAATAGTTGCATTTTTCTCTGTCAACATAAGTGTGTATATTATCAACTCTCACCCATAGTGGATGCAACCCTGAAGGCTTTCCTGTAACTTCCATTGCTTTGTTAATATTTCTATGTGTATCAGCCACAGTTTTACTAATATAGGGTTAAAACTGAACAGTAATACGATGAGAAAGAAAAACTGTTCATGTCATGTGATTCATTTGTCCAATATCATTAAAATGTTATTACACTGTATGTAAGGACATTACAGGGTGTTGGGGAAGAATATACAAAATTGTAAATTATTTAATTCAGCCATTCTGAATTATTATAAGACAGTGTGCTGTTTTGCACTGTTCTGTGTTGCTTAGAGCTAAAGACCTATATAATGATGAGAGGTGATCAGAGACAAAGTGTTTGAAAGTTTGCTCACTGTATTTCATGCTTCCGTCTAGCACTTTGTTCTCATGTCTAGAACTTTTGTAAGATGCTGAAATAGTGTTCTTCCCTGATTTTTTCTACTTATTTCAGCACTTTGTAACAATGACTGATATACTGGCTTAAGTTTAAGATTTTAAATTATATACTAATCCTAATTTTTGGTTGCTTATATTTCTCGTTTGGAGGAAACTGATGGGGTTCGAGGTAAGCAGAAAAGATAACAATAACCAGTATATATTGATTTTATTTCGTAATACATTGTGGGCCCAAAGGTGATGTGAAGGGCATGCTGTACATAGTGTTGATTGCAACTTTGTGTTAATCCTTGATGCTCTCGTATCAGTGAAGCAATATATATGCATATACAAATACCATATTTTATTGTATAACCGGGCCTCACTTAACCCACAATTTTCCCTGCACCTCAGTTAACTGCTGCTCACTGTACCCTTTTTTTATGTTGGCCAATGAGCAGAAACTCCAGTGAACTAATGCACAGAGGTTGTTCATAAAAATACCTTTTTTTAATAAACACACTCCAAAAA